GCGGGGGGGGGGGGGGGGGGGGGGGGGGGGGGGGGGGGGGGGGGGGGGGGCGTGGAGAGCCGTGGGAGGGAGATAGGAGAGAATGCACTCGCGTACATGGATAACAATGCCGTAATAAAGGTTATTTATGCCCTTTGTCTGTTGTCGAACATAGGTGTCGGTCCTTTGCCTGACGGCAGACGAGATCGAGGCCGAGAGGAGCGGTTGGAACGTAAATCCTGAGACGCAGTATCATATACAGACGGACGAGGGCCCGGAGAGATACTTTCGCTTTCAGACGCTCAATGGCCAGTATCGTAAGGAGAAGCGACTCGAGGATGGCACCGTCATCGGCACCGAGGGTTGGCTCGACCCCCTCGGCTACCTCAGGATTAAGGACTACATCGCCGACACTAAGGGCTACCGAATACTCAAGTACGTATGCACCATTCATCCGCTCTACCTGTCGTATCAACCATTCGCGATATTAGACAGACATATAGACAGACATATAGACAGACAGATAGAAAGACAGACAGACAGACAGACAGACAGACAGACAGACAGACAGACAAACAGACAGACAGACAGACAGAGAGAAATCTTTTTCGACGTGTAAGATTTTTTTTTTATTTTCGCACGATAATAGTACCGAGAGGCTTCCATTCAATTCGAGAATAATAATAATAATAATAATAATAATAATAATAATAATAATAATAAAGAAGAATAATAAAGCGGGCAGTTTGAGATCGGGAGGAATCCTGACGTCGGCAAAGTCTCGGACCGCTCGATCATTGAGAGTCATTGTAGCGACCGCGCCTCGCGCACATACCCGCCATACACCGAAACTCAGCACATATCCGCCATACACGAAAACTCGTCGGTTCCCAATTGCGAGACTACGGGCTAAAAAGTCCATTGGAAATTCGGCAAAATGCTAAGCGAGAAAAGCAAATGGGAAGGCGAGAAGCAAATAAAGGTCGCGCGTTAGGCGACTCGTTGCCCGAGCGAGCGCTCACGAATAACAAACCAAATCTCGATTTCAGATCGAAGATGATCTACGTGGGTAAGGAGAGGCCAATACAGGATGCGGTGGCGATATCGAAGTCGGTGCCAGCGAGCGGCGGCTCCCTCGTCCGACCCGTCCGGCCGCCCAATCCCTTTAGGTAAATTCGCGCGACTGGCCGCAAGGACCTCAAGGAGCAGCACGTATGTCAGCTTTTAATCAAGGCACTGTAATCACGCGTACACGCTTTTCACAGGCAACCGGAGCTGAAGGACGTGGCGAGCAACAGCATCGAGGCCAGTCCCGTGACACCCCTCAGGAGTTCCGCAGCGTCCTCATTTCGGTAAGTTGGCTTCCCGTCCCGGCTCCTCGTGTATTTGGCATTTGCAATTCCACGACCTCGTGGCCAAGATGGTTCCGGGGAGTCACGCTCGACGCTTAGAGGTCTGCCGGTCTACGGCTAACTCTCCCCGGTCCCGGTCGCGCCTCTGGACGTCGAGGCCTGACAATCGCCGGTCGGCAATCGTATTCGCCTCATCTCGCTCGACTCCCTTTTTCGTCTTCTTCTTCTTCTTCTTCTTCTTCTTCTTCTCCTTCTTCTTTTTTTGCCCTTATATTTTTCTTTATGTAATAACGCTCGCCGAGGTGACGGGTTAGGGCAGGGCATTTCGTATTACGAGTAGACGCCACTCACGCGATTCCCTAGGCTCCTTATTCTCACCCGAGTTATTCCTAAATGTAACCCACGACAGCCGCGCTAGTGTGCACTGTCGAGATCCCGGCGGCGCTATCGCTACTCGCCTCCACTCGCCTTATTATCGAGATAAGCAACTGAACTTTCATCGCTCGAGCTTCGCAAAGCCTGGATTAATCGTACGGAGCCATTGTATTGGGCGGAGATGGCTTCGCAAGTTGCGAGACTTAGGCGCAATATTATTATTATTATTATTAGTCTTGTTAATAAAGGATTGACGTTAACTGCATTTTCTCCCGAGTTCGTTGATTTAATGCCAACTTAAGTCCACTGTCGAACGAAATAAGGATACTCGCTCCGTCCGTCTAGCCAACCATCAACCACAATTTATCCTTACGCGAACTATCGCTTATTGCAACTTCACCCTAATATGCAAATCTCGTTAATAATTATTATCATGCTCTCTCAACATCAAATATCCAATGAACGAATCCAATGCCCGTTGTACTCGTCTCTTTTTATAATAGCGAACACATCGGGACACGAGGAAAATAAGTTTGTTGAGCGAGACTGAAAAATTGCCTCGAGTAGTGAAGTTTGTTGATCACAGAGCACGATTGTCGATTTAAATGTTTGATTTCATCAAAGATAATTCATAGGGACAAAGGTAAACTAAAACTTGCTCATGTGATCCGAATTTTTTTTTTTTGTCTTTCTTTTTTGTTTTTCATACGAGGAAATATGGTGGATATAACTATTCCATAATACCGTATTGATTATCTTTATTAAACAATTCAATCACCTATTATTTACAATTTTGCCAAAATCAGTTTTTATTAATTGTTTAATTTAATTGAAAATGCGATATTATTCTCAATCTAATAGCTTAGAGCTTTGTGAATTTTATTTCATAATCTACATCGACTGGATTTATATATATAAATGGCTCCCAAATAATATTCAAACAAAATTGTTTCATATTTGACTTTATTCATCTTGTTGAACATTAAATATTAATCGGAAGTAAATTATTAGCGTGATTGTTGTTATTCGCTTTATTCGATCGGTGAAAATGCTTATAACTTGTTGAATTCATTTAACGATTATTATGTACGTTAAGTAAATAGATGTAAATATTACGAATTTATCTGAATAATATATTTAAAGCTTTATGGATCTAATCTCATTTTAAAATGAAGACAGCACTAGTGCTAACATTATAATATAATGAAAAATATTCTAGTAACACTCAAGCATAAAAATCTTGTAATTTTAACGATGCGAATGAAGATTATTGAAATGAAATTAAGCGTGTTTGCTGTAAGTATTTCCCCGGGGCATCGAAGCCTCAAATTATCGGGGAAAATACAATTTTAAACGACCAGTTGTTGGTAAACGCTCGATTCCCATTGCTTAAGCAGCGCACTCCAACGAATCATTCAAAAATGCACATTATTATTGCGTAAATTCCGTCTCTTTCTATTCTTATACGTCCTTTTTCATGCCACATAAAAGATATTGACGCGAATCTCAGTCTCGCGTCTTCTCGGCGATGATCGTATAATGTATTATCCAAAAGTGACTTGCCGATAATCCAATGACAAAATCAAAGAGAATCTATCAATCCCAGAGTCCTTGGCAATTTGAATATAGTCCTGCTAAATTAAAAAATCTAGCGTTATCTCGTTATAATTGTCCTTTCTTCCTGAGCAAGTGGGAGACGAAGATGCGCGAGAAAAGACAATATCCCAGTCTTCCCAGTCCCTTGAAGTACAACGGCTGGAGTATAAAAGTACAAATATGACCCGCAGATTGAGGCCGATCTTAGTGACGACTCCGAGGCCAAGGCCATTTGCCTTGACGACGCCCGCGTCTTTTGGCCCCGACTACTCCCAGCCAGACTCCAACTACCTCTCGTCCAGTCACAAGCCCTACCGTGGCTCTTATCGTCTGAAACAACAGCAACGGCAACAGCAGCATCAACAGCCGCGGAAGCCGGCCCTCGTCGTGGAACCGCCCTTCCTCAACCAGGACCAGAACCACTTGGTCAGTCGGAGTAGCAGTGCCGCGCGTCTCGCTCCCAACGCCTTCAGGTGCGCTCACTCCGCCACATCCTATTATTATACTTCTCTATACCGTTAGGAAGATTGGCAAGATTTCTTTAATTCCTCTTGCCATACTCTCTCTCTCTCTCTCTCTCTCTGTCTCTCTCTATGTGTGTGTGTGTGTGTGTGTGTGCGTACGCGCGGCTTGTTGCCGAAGCCGCCAGGATAACGAGGAACGCGCGCCGGTGGCAAAGACTCTTATTAATAGTTCCTCCACGAGTCTTTTGATTTGGGCTTGACAGTCTGATTGACCGTGAGTCAAGTTTCCCTCTGCTTGTTTTATTTTATTAACAGAAAGCAACGTTTTCGTACCATTTAAATGTTATGGCGTTAAAGAGAGCTTGGAAATAGCTTGGACGAGCGTCGGTAAACATTTCACCGGGCTGTCTGCTTTTCTCCTCACTCTTCTTCCCTCTTTTTCACCTTTCCCTCTCAAAGGATACCGACTATTTTTCTTCACTTTTAATGGGTCGAATTATGATTACGATTATGATTATGATTGTGATCGTGATTACTGTTATTGTCGTTATTATTATTATTATTATTATTTATTATTATTTATTATTATTATTATTATTATTATTATACGAGTTATTACTTGTTACTCTGATTATTTCAGACTTTCCCACGTTGTAATATTTTTCTGGATATACTCATACATACGCACGCGTAACGTAAATTAAGCAAGAAAAATTATCCTCGAACGAATACCATGAATTCCCTCTTTCATTCGCTCCTTGTAAAATTACACACTTTCTCGTTAAATGAAATCTTGTTACTTGGTATTGTAAATAAAAAAATACACCTAAAATACAGATATTTGATTATAAAGTACAATTTTAAGATTGAATGTGTTGTTTTTTTTTTGTTGTTATTGTGAGCAATAGCATCTTATTTCGATTAAGAAACGAATAGAAGAAAAAAAAATTAAAAACAAAAAACAAAAAATACCGTCTTCGCGTAGCTTTGCCGTTTAAAGTACAGAAAAATACGAATAAGCTTATTTGTAAATAACCTTTTCTATTACAATGATGTTCGTTGATAATAATCTAAGGTTTGTATTACACGGAGATGTAGCAAAACAAGTTGCTTATAATATATAACGCGCTAATTCATAAATTAATAGTCTAAATTAATATGTGGGAAATATTAAAGGTACATAAATGTTATTTCGTTATAATACGATAAGTGCAAGCTGTAAACATGCAAAGAAAGAGTATCTAATTTCCACAAGAATTTTAATCAACTGCTATTAGATTTAATCGCAATGCATTGACCGATAATTATACTCTATGCATGCAAAATAAGCAAAATGCTTTTCACGCCCTTAGAGTATTGTCTTACATTAACAAGCTACATTCGTATTTGAAATTTATCCCTCTATTAATCCCCCACCCCCGTACACATCCCTCTATCACTTTCACAATAATTTTTCTCACTCTCTTTCGCGGGTGAGCGCGCGCGTTCGCGCACGCACACACACACACACACACACACACACGCGCGCGCGCGCGCGCGCGCTGGACGTATGCTCGTCCAGGTTTAATGACATTTGGACTAGTGTAAAAATTATATAAGGTAATTCGTTTATTTGCATATTGAAATTTGCGAATTCATCATCGAGCGCGACGTTGCAGAGCCGAGCGTGCTATTACGCGACTTAATAAGTGTCAATTACATCCCACGCACTACATGTAACGCGAGGAATGCGCCATTGGGCTCGCGCGCAATTTCCCCGAGTCCCCTAACGGATTCCCCGTATCCGTTAATTTTCAATGTAAGCGACATCCCATGTGGTGGCAACCTTGTCACGTCTGTCTCTCGGAATTTTCGGTTGCAGAGGCTACCAGCGCTGGAACGGCTCGGGCGGTCGTTTCCCACAGCGACAGAAGCCCGCGACCCGTGAGTACGAGTTCCCAGGGTACGACGGTAACCACGGCACCAAGGACGGCTTCCAATATTATCTCAAGAAGCAATATCACGAGGAGGAGCGCACGAGACCCGACAAGAGCATCGGCTCTTTCGGCTACGTCGATCCCTTCGGTATCCGTAGGGTCGTCTACTATAAGGCCGATTCTCAAAATGGCTTCCAGCATCGAAAGAACAATCGCTACGTCGGTCACGATGCCAAGCCCTACGACCCCGTGCCCTTGGTCACGGCCCACTGAACGAGCAACATTGTGCCAACCGCCGTCCATTATATTCTGTCCAAGCTCACCTCTCGCAGGAAGGAGCTCTCGACGATCCGAGGACATTTCGCCATTTTCCACCACCACCACCACTCTCTCTCTCTCTCTCTCTATCTATCTCTCTCTCTCTATCTATCTATCTATCTCTAATTATCTCTATCTATCTCTATCTGTATTTACCAGTCTCTCGACCTATCTATTCCAATCGTATCTAGCTGCGCTCGATTCTCGTCCGCCTTCACTACTCATCGAGCGTCTTTACACGCTACTAAGCGACAATACACGGATCTAGACACGGATCCACAAAATTTTGTCGTTTTTTTTTTGTTTTTTTTTTTTTTTTAACGCTATTCACCGGGGAATCGAACTGGCTGCTCGGAAGTTGATTTCATCGAGCGATACGTAGCTAATACATAGTCATTAATTTTAGTCGGTGCTGTATTGTTGCATGTGGCGTTGAGTATGGACGAGCGGCGACTAAACCGGGGATTTCATGAAAGATTGTCGATCATCGTCTCGCTTAGCGATATACATGGAAAACAATGGCTGATAGAGTCAAGTCTCGTTCCATCGAAATCGCGAGCGGCCGTCCCTCTTTTCTCTCCTCTCTCAAACGAGCGCGATCGAGTCTACTCATGATCTCATAGTCCGCGAAATAATGAAGTCGGCGTGTGTGACGTGGTGGATAGAGGGGCAAGGGCGTTAGACGGTTTGGGGAGGGAGGGAGGGGGGGGGAGAAGCCGTAGGAGCACCAAGGGATTTAACGAGGCGCCTAACTCGAGTGAGAAAAACTTAGTAATATTATACTCGTAAATCCGACTGGCTGCTTCACTCTTCTCTCCGTATGCCCCCTCCCGTGTCCCGATATAACCCTTCAATAATACCTCCCCCCCGCCCCCCGCGTATCCCACCCTCCGCCTTTTCGCTCATCTTAACGACCGGGAGCGCGGCTCAGCAGCATCTCGCAGAGGCGCCAGCTATTCAATAATATCGCAACGGTCGCGAAACCTTTACGAGCCGGGCGGGCTTTTCATTAGCGCACCGTCTCGCTTTTACGTAGCGTGGGAAGCGACGCGGCCCACGCGGACATCGGACTTTAATGTTTTTGCTTGGCAGCCGAGCGCCAAATTCGGGTGTCTCTCGCGCCTCGCGCAGCCACTTTGTTGAGAAATCCCAAGGGAGCGCGAAGGCTGCTCAGGAGGATTTTAATTTTCCCGAATCGCGGATTAACGATGCAACAACTCGCATGAGAAGCCATCGACGCTGCGCAAAAAAATTAATTATTTATAATTAATACGGAATACGTGCGCTCATTCGATGTAACTCTCTTCGATGTAATAATTCGTTCGTTGAAAGGAGGGCAAGGACGCGTCTAGGTAAGGGCATTCTCGAATCTCGCGTCGTAAGAGTCCTTCCAATCCCAACTTTTGATAAATCTTTCGAATCAGATAGATTTATACACTCGGCATACAATGAAATCTTTTAAACCAAGAAATTCAAACGTGATTCTGATTTTTCTTTTTCTACGCACTTCCCGCACTCCCGAATTCCTATATAAATACGAACAAGCTAAGAAGATGAAAAGAAGGTTTTCTTTTTCTTTTCTTCTTCATCAGCGATCGAAGGGATATAGGCGTGATTATACATCGTTAATATTACCTTGTTTAGTACCAAAAGAATAATTGATAATTTGCCTCTGTCGATCAAATCAAACAATTAATGATGATTAAGTCAACCGAGTTACTTTATAATTATAATATGGCGTCGTTGAAATCTTCAAAAATACATGTATACTCGTGCAAGTTTTCACATTTTTCATCGTATCTATTGTAACGCAACTTTGTCATTTTGTAATACGTACAAGCAATTGTGTCGAAAGCGCTGTTCCACATTGCATAATAAAATCCATATATATTTTGAGTAAAAGTATCGAAAAGCTTCACGTAATTCGACGCAGTTATACATCGCACCAATATCCGAACGGCAAAATACAAAAATAAAATAGCTAAGGTATGTATTGTGCTTAATTCTATAAGATAGATCGGTAGCTTTCACCAAGTCCGTTTAAACAGATGTACGAATGGGCGTGTGAATGCGCAAGCACGCATATTGTAAGCGATGTTCGTCAAAATTGTACTGCATCAAGGATTTAGCGGGAAGAGGTATTTAAACGGCGTAATTAAACGGGGTTAATTGAAATATAACGAAAATGAGAATTACAGCGTGGCGCGTGGATGTAGGAAAATACATTAATGAATTTAGTCCATCGCCGCTTTTCGTAAGTCAAGTGCATCACGGCTACGAAACGAGTTTCTTACTATACAAGCCGCCACGTAGACACACGACGACGTAAAGTTATAATGGAAGAAGAGGGGGAAAAAAAGCGGTCGACAAGCGGACGAGCGAGAGAACGAGCCATAATTCTGCTTAAGGTCCGTTCGCGAGCAAAGAGACGTAGGGAAAAAAGTGCCGATTCACCGATGTAATGTAAGCCTTAGCATAGTTAATACAGCGCGACAATATCGCCCCTTTTTCCCGAAGCGTTAACTAATCTCGCCGTTGCAATAGCTCAAGGTGTTGCGTAAGCGCCGCCCTATTTTCCTTTGTATTCTTCGTAATGTTAGGAGAGCGCGAGAAAGAGCCGCCGACGCTTCAAGTTGGCGCCGATTTTTCCACACGCGACGCTACCGAAGCCTTGACGATCAAAGTGCATTTGCCTAGGTAAGCTTTGCTCCCCCGCTTAATAGGGGCTTACTTCTCGATTGCCTATCGCTCCCCCCCCCCCCTTTCACCGATTCCCCTTCCCGCAATTCCCCTCCCACTATTTCCCACCTGCGCAATACCGGGTAAGACTCAAGGTGATGATTTTATTCCCAGTTTTAGCAAACGCACTCTGGCTACAAGGCTACGAGCTGAGCGTCTCCGTCTGTACATATGAACAACATGATTATCAAAGTAATCGGTATCTCGATGAATTTCTTATGACTCGTGTGATGTGTGACGCAAGCGCGAGTTATATTATTCTGTACTCGTTTATTTTTCGATACCTGTCGATTGTCGGCATTTGGAAATTTCGAACGCGAGCGCTTAGCCTTAGAATTGACATTTTCGGAGCTCGATTGGAATTGAGTGACGATTAGCATTCGAGGATGAAATAAAGAAAGAAAGAAATAGACGCTTGATGCAATGTATTCGAAATTATTCCGAATATTTAAATATTATTTGTAGAGCGTGTCAGAAATAAAAAGTTTTTGTAATGTCTATTCAAATTATTTTCATGAAAACCAATAAGCTGTGTGTCATTGAATGATTGCAGAAATAATGTAAATGACGCTTCTCTCAGTGAAATTCCAAAGTTCCACTGAGTATTACAATACGCATAAGTGTCTCACTCTATGCGTATTCAAATAATAATCAATTATGTTGAAACTGTCGTTCAAATTTGGAAACGGCCTAGTTTCCATGTAATTTTATTCAGTCGTGTCAAGCGAGAGAAAGAACTAAACTTTGAAGCAAGAAGAATAATTTTTTATCTAACAACATAAGCATCACGGCAACGCAGAAATTCTTTTCATCGAAAAGATTTACCGCTCGCAATACTCGTACAATACTTAATATAATTTATAATACTTTCTTATAGGGTTCCTATAATATTTAAGATATTTTTATAATAATATTACGATTACATGATTATTTTGAAAAATTATAAACATACTTTTCTCTTCTATTTAAAATTATATTACTATTTAATATTATGTTTTTACCGATACCTTTTTCAAATGCAACTCAAGTGACTTATCGCACGTCTACTTATTACATACGATAATTGAATAAAATTAGCGTTAGAGAGGAATACATTTAAAAAATGTGAAATAGTGAAAGAGATACAATATCGGGATAATTTTAAAGAGTAATTGAGAAGGAATGAGAAGTGCATAGGCATAAATTGCCAAAATCACTTCATTTCAATAAATATGAAAGGACTATCGTTTCCCTTCATAGACAATAAATTATGTTGAACGTCGACGATCGTTGAGGTCACAATAAATATAAATTAAAGCTATTGTCGATAATTAGCGTCTTCCAATCATGTAAACGTAAAATTTCAATTATTCGAGTTAAAAAAAAATCTTTACGTAAATTTTTCTTTTTTTTTCTTTTTTTGCTTCAACAATAAAAAAACATAAGCTATTTTTATAGTTTATATTATCATTCGACTCTAAAAAAATTTAATTGTATCCTTTGAAAATCATAATACTCATCGATAATATTTGAACAATGGAAAAACGTCTCTTCTGGCTCACATGCTTTTCACATTTGATTTGCAAATTTTCACTATTACAATTATCATTTCGTCCATTAATCGTTACTATGGTAATAATCAATTATTAATAATTGAAATATCAAATAAGAATGTTAATATCAAAAGAATTGCAATTCTTATTCGCAAGTATGTTCAATAATTTTATTTGGTTTAATTTCCAACGTTTTTTATTCATGTATTTCAAGCTCGTACTTATGAAATAGTATTAAAATACTATTGAGTTGTTAATAATAAATAAAGTACTTTAATCTGCTTAATATTGGCTTTCAAAAACTTTTATGCTTGAGAATGCTTTATCAGTACGTATTGATATGCAAATAAAACATTTCCACGGTAATAATGTATTACTAAATAATACAATTAATTACATTTAGTTATACCTTATAAGATTTCCCAATTATAATAATTAATATGACAATTAACGTTTCCGAATAATCAAACAAATTGATTTTCATAACTTTCATAGCAATTAGATTAACAAACAGACAAACAAACACACACACACACACACACACACACACACACACAAACACACAAACAGACAGAAACACACAAACACAAACACATTACAAGTATGATTTTAAGTAGGGAAATAAAACTACATATTGATACGATTTATAAGATAAAAATATTTCATATTACGGCAACAATAATTTTCAATTTTGAAGTTAAATAATCGTCGATTAAATCTACTATAAATTGCAAAAATCTCAAATGAATGATTATTTATTAACTTTACAATCAATTTAATGAGTGTCATTATCTTTTCATGTTAAATTATATTTCACTAAAGATGAAATCAATTTTTAGTTAAGAAGAAAAATTATATCAATTTGCCTTAGTATCATGTGCTTATAACGATATATTGCTGTCGATTCATTTAAACATTTAATGAAAAAAAAATCTTTTATCGAGATAATTAAATGATATGACTTTAATATACGACATTTACTTTCTCAATAAAAATGATTATAATTAGTATACATAATGTTATAATTCTGATATTACAAGTCAATTTTAAAACACTTTCATTTATGCATTTATATAAATGTAGATAAATACATTTATTCATATTAGAAATTGTAAGTTTTGATGTATTTTAAATATAAAATAAAATATAATATAACTATTTGTAGGGCTTCGGGAAACTATTTTCTATTATTCATAACAATTAAAAGACAGCAGATTCGGTAAATACACTATTGACTCAAATACTATTTTAAGGCAAATAAAATTTCTTCGATATGTAGGACAAAACAAAGTCGTCAAATTTGCTTTATCAAAATTTATTTATTGTTTTCTTAGTCTTAAACATGGCATCGTAATTGAACAATAAGCATTTGCCACAAACAAATTTTGTAAGAAAATATAATAAATATAGTCATTTCATATTTCCTATTATTTCGTATTATTAAAGTGAAAAGAAATTAAAATTTCACCCGAATAATCACTGACTACGCGCATTACATGAGATTATTATACAAATAACATACAGATATACATCATATAAAATGCATTACTATATAGTTGCTCAATCAGCGAATACATTTTCCGTTATTTATTCAATATAACTAGCTGACAATCTAAAGCTATGATAGTTCAGATGAGGAGAAGAAGATGATGGAGATATTCACTTTCGTTATTTGGACGATTGAATCAGTTGGTCGAGCGCCGGATAACTAAGGACGATATTTGCCGGAATCATCCCGCCTGTCGATTTGCTGATTCAAGGGCTGATTGCCCTTTTGGGCTGCTTCCCGGGCTGCTGCTTCCTAGTGATTAATACGTTATTAGTATCTTTGATAATGCCAACTGAATTACGTATAAGCGCATAAAAGGCACTTGGCACCTCGCCTTGCCATTAAACATAGCAATTGCAATATTTCTTAACAAGGCCACGACGTTCATAATTAAGAATAAAAATTACCTTGAAAGCTACACCTGTAACGACTTATTATTAATTGCGAGAAACTTAAGCTGTATAAAAACGGAAATGAATCTTTTATGCGGAGGGAAAGTCGAGACAAATACGCTTTAAATTATTCAGGTTAAACCTATAAATGCACATAAATGCGTATCAAGCTTGCCCAGACTGCCAAACCAGCTATTTATTTATATATAAATGTATCACCTGCATTATTTGACAAGTTTTATGCAGACTTTCATACTTTCCCTGCATTTAAAAAGTTAAATTTCCTTTTATATTAAGGGGAAATTACATATCTCACTATAAAGAAATATGTAACTTATGATTCAAGCTTAATTTTAATATTTAAAGGCCACAGATTAATCAAAATGTACGTAATTTTAACTTTTCATTTTTCTTTTAATTCTCATAATAATTACGTTTAAGTCTAAGTTCGTTTAAGATTTCTTGTTTTATTAAGTAATCGCGATTAATTAATAATTCGTTAAATTCCTTATTCTTTTCAAGACATAATAATTTAATTAAACACTTTAATTAAAAAATTTTATAAGAATATTAAAATGTAAAATTTTTGGTTTTTTTGTCGTTGCTGTTTTTCTTGCTTTTGTTTTGGTTTTGTTTTAACGTATTCATTTTATCGTTATATATATTTGAATAAGAATACAATAATAAGAAACATAACATTTAGACAGAAAATTTTATATGAAAATTGTCCGTTTAAGTGTAAAAACAAGCGAAAATAGAAATGTAATACAACATTTATATAATAAATTATGCATTTGACAAAATAGTCGAGTGAGCATTGAATAGAGAAATAGTAAAAATGTAAAATCATGGATATATTTATATTTTTATAAGGATAAAACTTTATAGAATAAAAATCCTATATTATAAGATGAAATAAGTTGTAAAAGTTATGCCAATCCAAGGATGAACATTATTTTCCAACAACGTCTAAATATTTTAAAAATAAAATAAAGTATATTATATATATATATATATATATATCGTATCGTGTATTAATATCAAACAAGTATAAAAACTTCAGTCAGGAAATATTATTTATCGCTTGCGCGTAATCGTGGACGATATCGAGGAAAAAGAAAAATTACATCCGTATCTAAAGATTTAAAAATTGCATAATGTTATTAAAAAGTTCATTCGAAAGTTTAATCCTGACCAATACATCAGAGGAGCAAGAGCCAATTAGTTCGCAGACTTACCACCAGATATCAGCGCTTGTACGTATTTCAAAGGACTTACTTGTCGGTAAAGAAATTTTTCATCGATTAATTCCGACAGTTTTATACGACAACTCTACGCTTACATTCTTGGCTTTTCCTTCAATGTCGACTGTCGTACTTACTCGCTTTCCAAGAGACACAGACCAAGAAAGTTCGTTGCTCCAAAGTCACACCAATCACCAGCACCTCTACTTTCGAGCAGGTCCGACAATGTCACGTTACCTCCGACGTCCTATTTCTGCCCTAATCGCCATAAACTTATTAAAATCCCCCCGATCGAGCGAGCGTACCTGCTGCTGCCGGATGCCCGCGTAGATGAGGTCCAGCCCCTTCTGGATCTCCTCGCTGACGGGAGGTGGCGTGGGAATGTGATCACCGGATGCGTGGAAGCCCGTTTCATCGGCTGTGTAGTGGATGGTGATGAGTTGACCCTCGGGGCTCGTGTAGGAATAGCTGCCTTGCTGGACGAGGGCCTCGCCCTGGTCCTCGCCTTCGCCCACCGTCTTTATGTATCCGCTCTCCTCGGCGATTATGTTGTTGCCCGTCTCATAACTGTAAGGCCAACGTATAAGGAGCTAAGAATTGAAGGACTTTGGAATCGAGATATCAACTGTAGTTGACATCGAGCCAACACTAAAATTTTGGCTCCTGCAATCATCACTTTCGGAGCAAAAGAAAAAGTAATTTATGTAACCAGCAGAGTGTGACCTGCACTCCTCGAGATTCTAATGATTAAATGAGCTAAATATTTGTTTTATTCCATCTGGTTTTGTTGGTTTGTCGATGTTAAAAATCGCTGGAGACTTTCAATCAGACCAAGTACAAGGCATTTGCCTCTATAGCTTTTATATAACAACTTTTAGTGCATTTTATGTTCAAGTGAAAATAATATTAAAAATGGACTTGTCTTGAATGAAGTCTATGAAGTTGCAGGGTTGAAGCTTATTTCAGAGATGAAGAAAAGAAGATGTACCGGGAATATTCACTCGATTACGAAACCATGTACTAATTTATTTAGAAAGTACGTCTCGTAATTATAATTTAATAAAAATGTATTTATACAGTAAGAGAAATTATGTGTATTAAGAAAAAAAAAAAAAATCATTATATAATCTATCGAGTATCATAATTTCATTTACACTGTATAATTAATATAAAAATTTCATTACACACACATTATAATATATATAATATATTAAACTTGGTGTACTTCAACGTTAAATTAATTATGTAATGCATTTTAATGAAAATTAATAGCTCATAAAGGCATTTTAACGCGCACAAATGTCGGATAACTTTTCTTAAAGGACAATAAAATATTTAATATGGAAATAAAATTAGGATTTTTTAATTACTTCATTTTACATAAAATAATAATGCATAATGTTAGAAAATGTCTATTACAATATTTATTTTCTTTTTAAATTCAGATGTATTAATTAATTCATAGGGTTTGAAATTTATGCTCTTTAAGTTAAACTAACAATACATGATTTTATGATAGATGTGCGATTTGTATTTGTGATTTTATTTGACAGTGGAAGACTCAAAGTTGATAGAAGATTGTGCCGGATAAGCGCGGGCGGGAATAAACGAATTATTCTCGTAAGAAAAAAGTTTTTCATTTAGGAAAGAAATAACCTCTTAAGTATTTAGCTTTGGAGCTCGGCTAATTGTGAAAGCTCGTTATTCACTTATTGAAAATATCTAATGAACATAAGCGACGTATGTATTAACATTTATGTAATACGCACGTAGCAATTTTAGGACGTAAATGCTTGCTGGATTGAGTAAAGGTGGATGAAAAAATCGGTTCACCGCCGCTACATCTCTCTCTCTCTCTCTCTCTCTCTCTCTCTCTCTCTCTCTCTGTCTTCTCTGTTTTTCTCCTATTCCAGCAGATAGAAAGGTGAAGAGTGATCGAGTGAGAGGGTGAGAGTATTAGAGTCAGAGAGAGAGAGAGAGAGAGAGAGAGAGAGAGAGAGAGAGAGAAATCGCGTTTCTCAAGCGTGACAGCCTCGAAGCCGTCAATTGGCCGTGGATATGAAGCGCGCGAGCGTAATTGCGTGTAGCGATCACTAATCAGTGGCTCGTTGATGAAGTACGCCGTTATGGGCATGTCGCAGCCTCGGCGAGCTCCGGTCCTTGAACTTTTCCGCGACTTTTGTCTCGCAGTTTGGTTTTTACGAATCGCTGTTTTCCGAGGAGCGAGGCGCACGGCCGCTTATGTAAGAGAGTAGGCGAGTTTGGCGCAGCGCGGACTTTGCGGCCGAGCGATACCTCTCGTCGTTTCTTTTTTCCCTTCTTTTTCTTATTACGCGTACGTTGCTCAACTCGTGCGCTCGATGTGGTGCGATGTGGTGCGATCTTTAGCGATCTTTTGCGATCTCTCGGCTTTCTCGTGCGCGGACCAGTCGACGCACGAACATTGTTATTATGTTGCGAAAGTGTCGTCGTTGGAAGCTCGTCTCGTAAGTTTCGTGAAATAATTTCGTATGTATGATTTTTAGCCGAATTGCGCGTCGCACTGAGATGTTTATAACGCAATGGTCCAAGAGCCATAGGTTCGAAAGTATGTTGTGGGAATGAACAATCTCGATTAAAGTATTATTAAGAGTGTACGGAGAAGATAATTGATGATTTTGAAAAGCTTAATGAAGATGTTCACCTGGTGCGGTAAGTTCCGTCGTGCTCTTGTTGCTTATTCCACTGGATGATGGGAATGGGAGTGGTAGTGGAGCGTCTGTCGATCGGACCTGAAGATTGTTCCTGATACTGATTACGCTGCTCCTGATATTGTCCATTATCCAAATTCTGGTTTTGTTGTTGTTGTTGTTGCTGCTGCTGCTGGAAGGCTTGGTTCGGGTTATGGAATGGTCGTCCTCGATGGGAATCCTGAGCCACCGCCAGGCCCAACATCACAGCCAATATCTATATCAGATTTTTATTTATTACCGTTCGTGGGTTGACATTAGTTGCTTCATTTACAATTCCCGGCGAAGTAGTAAAATATTTGACTTTTAATATTATTTGGATACACGTCGATTGAACTTCACCTTGAAGTCTTACGAATTTCATATATAGTACCTAACGAGTTTTACCTTAGACACTGATTAACCTAGTCATTCCGCTTTGCAAATTTCAGAACATTCGGATATTTATTCATGCATGCGTTTGCAGTTGCTAAGACCTTATTCGCCGAGCATTCATAATGTTAAATCATTTAGTAATAATAATCCATCGATTTCCGGTCCCCGAATTGATTGCATGTTTAGCTCAGAATTGTCGACGAGACTATATTTTCATGTATCTTTCTCTTAGACGATGGGAACTCATATTGACAATAAGAGCAGCTAATTAAAAAAAATAAATAAAATAAAATAAAAAATTATAAAAGAAACTTTAATGCATTTAATTAATCTTTTATATACAGTGAATGCTTAATAATAATGAATGGAAAGTCAGTTTTATATTATAAGGCAGCCAAACATTTTATATTCATAAGTTTTCTTAATTTATTAGCCTAATTCAATATGCTTGTATTGTAGTCGATAAATAAATATGCTAATTGATATTATTGATTCTTGTGTGGTTTCATAATTCTCTAAACACTGTTGCATTAATTTTGCCAATTCCCTTTTCATTATTTATGTCGACAGCTGCATAAATTTATTACGAAACGATAAAATATTGTAAATTGGCCATTAAATTATAATATCCTTCATCATCATCGTCGTCGTCGTCGTCATTATCATTATCATCGTCGTCGTCATCATTATCTTCTTCTTCTTCTTCATTTTAAAACAAAGCGAGAGTTAGAAAAATCGATGGAGAGAGCGAGAGCGAGAGAGAGAGAGAGAGAGAGAGAGAGAGAGAGAGAGAGAGAGAGGAGAAAAGTGTGGCATAAAAAGGCACGAGAGAAGCTGTAAATTATTCGTGAAAAAAATGGACCATAAGTTCCTTTTAAGAAATAATACGATTCTTATTAAAGATACGGATTAAGCGTCAGAAGGAGACATGGATCAACGATCAATGATCAGGAGCACCGACACTGGAGAGCAAATAAAAAGCGACGCTCTCGCCTCGCGTTGGTGAAGAAAGTGTTGGGGGGGGGGGGGATTCCATGACTGGGATGGTCGTTGCCCAGACGATGCACACGCCTCATCTTCGCTTTTTTCTCCTTCGTTGTCTTCCTGGCGCCCGATCCTCCGTATTCATCGTTGGATTTTCACTTTCGATGCGCTCGCGTCGTATTTCCCATTTCGCTTTCGAATCGCAGCGACGACTTTCTAAGAGGCCGTGAGATCGATCATCACCAAAGCCAATATCGATCCTTCTCCGCCGGCCGATGATGACGATGATGCGTAGGGTTACGAGAAAATGGCGTTACGTAACTCTTACGAAACTAGAGGAACCTGCTTCACCTTTACGCACTCCTTCAATTTTTTCTTTCTTTCTTTTCTTTGTAGATTGTTTTAGATGTTAATTGGCCCCTGGTATCCTGTATCATTGAGTAGGCCGTGGAAAGGCTGAGATTACGATAAAGATTTTATTGGCGGTTTCCAGCTACATATTACCTCCATTGCTCATTATTAGACTAATGTACAGTACGTAATCATTCGTATGCTGTAAGCGTATTTCGTGATTTTTACGTTTTCATGCAGCTCGATATTTATTACTAATAAGCTTTTACTTTATTCGCCTAAATTATTAATGCATAAATTTCGCTTTCCTATATAATGCAGATATAATATTATCGCTTGTATTATTCGTAGGACGTGAGAAGGAAATATTAAGGCTTCTGTATATCAGCCGATTAAACTTCAAAATTAAGCAGCTCCTTTTTCCATTAAAATTTCAAGTAATCGAGTATTTTTCTTTTCTCGTAAGTAGCCTCGGAACGTCGTAATTTTAAATCACATAATTTTAATACCATTTTTGCACACAAATTTCCTTGAACAGTCGAGAGACAAGCTTTAAGATAAAAAGTCGACAAAATCTTATATTGATTATCGTAACAAAATCACTCGTTATTAAAACTACGTAATTTTGTAATGATCGCTCTATCATCGAAACTCTAGAGCAAACTCTCTGTATATGTTAATAATTTAAAATCTTGTCTATACTGTTTGATTAAATTAAATTAAGATTAATATACAAAATAAGATTATCATTAATTAAAGTTAATGATAATTTTATAAGAATTAAAAAAATTATTTCGATAATATTCATAGAGAAAGAAAAAAACATCGTAAAGTTAATTAAAGATAATCATTGACAAGATTCGACAAAATGGGGCTTAAGATAATGAAAGCGATAATTTTACACAATTTACTTGCATAGCTGATATAAGCATAGTTGATTATAAAAAATACATTGAATACAAAATAGGAAAATCATTAAATCTTTGTATGTAATATATCAAGTAATGTATCGCACACAGAGCTGATCTCGGGTTTCGCACAATAATGATGACATCGAGGATAAATGGAGTAAAGGTTTGTTCAAGGATTATTCAAAGCTCGCTCAGAAAAAGTATCCTTTTTCAAAAATCCATCCATCTATCTATCTATCTGTCTTTCTCCTACAAATTTTTACGTACGCATATAACAATATGTATATTATAAATCATAACGATATATATATAAACATGTAAGACAAAGAAAAAACAATACAACCGACACCATAAAATATGGCGAAAAGTAATTAAAACATTTTTATCATTACAAACACTTGTATCGAATCTTAACTTTTGGATTTATCCACTTGACCGATAAAGCTCCCAATTTCCTCTCAATTAAAAGCCAATGTAAAATTTACGTACATATCGTGTAATTTACATAAATATCTACAGACTTCTCATTGATATTTCATACAAAAGATCACGAGTCATATATTGTCTTTTACTCGTCCAACTTAACAACCACCTTTCACGCAATATTACTCACAAAATAAAGGGAATTTATAATATACGTTTAAGAGAAAATAGCATAAAATTACTTGAGTAGTATAAGTAGCTCCAGTTCGCGACGCAACAAAGTCTCTCGACATTTCAATGGACATTGGAAATTATTTACTAATTCAGCGTCGCGATCCACGTCTGCGATTAACTCGTATCATCATTCACCATTGACGATCAATTTGTCGATAATTATCAGCCTGTCCAATACATTTTATAATGAATAATCCATACAATACTGGCACCATCACTCTCTCTCTATCTCTCTCTCTCTCTCTCTCTCTCTCTCATTCTCTCTCTCTCATTCTCTCTCTCTCTCTCTATCTATCTATCTATCTATCTATCTATCTCTCTGCCGGACCTCTTGGAGGACGCAATTATAACGGCGAAGTGGAAGGTTCTGCATTCCGTCGTTTAAATGAATTTTCACGTAATCCTGTCTCCAGCTTAGTCTCTATTTATCCGCTGCTCGTTCCGCGCGGTCGTTGCGTTGCCAATAGCCTCGGCGTTATCTCACGCGTCTCTAGACTTGCGACACGTCGATTGGGAATTAGAGGAGAGAAGGCGCGTGAATCGATTCACGCGCCTCATTTCTGGACGCTCCTACGGTGAAAGTGAAAAGCAAATACCGCGGCGGGTCGTTTAACTCATGACCCGTTAACCCGAGCACCGCCTTGTCGCGACCTCGTCGCCCGTCGGAGGAACGCCCGGGTCGGTCGCCCCTGGTAAAGCAAATTGTCCAAGGAGCAGGAGCAGGAGCAGGAGCAGGAGCAGGGGTGAAGGGGGGTTGGTACAGAGTCGAAATTGGTCGCTTAACTCACCGCAGTCCTCATCCTGGTGCTCGTGCCCGCGGTGCCGCTCCTCACCGCAATATCAGCGAACGTGGTGATGGGACTCTTCTCGTGGGAGGCTTAAGTCGCTGCGCCGATGCTCGCCTATCTATTGCGGAGAGGTGAGGAGAGGATCCCTTTATATAGCGGCTCTCACTTCGGCCCCTACTCGGCCATTCCTCAATTATGCAGGGATCCGCGTGCACGGAGCAAATGGTGGGGAGTGCGCAGCGAGCGCACGTGTGAATCTCGAATGGATGCGCTTCGTCTTGGCTGTTCGGTCATTTTTTTCGAGGCTTCCTTCTCGCCGCGCTCACTTTGTCGTTAATTTTTCTACATCGTTGGGTAACAAAGGGCCTGGCGCCGAGGATCTTTCGATCAGTCGTTCGCAATCTCGCTACACACGAATGAATTTCGGGATTTTTACAGCCGGGAAAGCTTCGCTGTCGCCCTCCGCGCCAATCGTCAACATAAGAGAAACCATGGAGCTTGTGGCGTGCTAAGCTAGTAAAGCGGGTAACTATATAAATATTGCCGCACTACGCCCCCCCCCCCGGAATTATACAGTATAATTACAAAATAATTACAGTAGATGAATAATATATAATAAGAATAGGAATATTATACAAGTGGCGAATTAATGTGATTGACGTACGTTCAAATATGAAAGTTAATTGGGTAAGTCGAGTGCGGGAGCTGGATACTTAGATGTATTGTACATACATGAACAATTATTGTCATTGTTTGATAGTTGTGCGCTACTTGGCCTTGTAAAGTATCCAAGTTACCGAAAAGTCATTGAAAGTAGTTTGAAAGTGGGTTTGAATTTTTAAGATTATACGTCAAGAAACAAGGTTGTTGAGATTGCTCAAGAGGATGAATAACCATTGTTACATCGTTTTTCTTTTTCTTTTTTCTAATTTTTCTTTTTTCTATTTCTTTTCTTTTGTTTTTTTTTCTTTTGCATATAATTCCATGCAATTGCACTGCAATTGGTGTAAAACCAGCGATTGTAGTAGAAAAATGAGACAAATAGCCATTAATTTCACCGACTGCGCTATCTATAAAAATATATATATCACGTATTATTACGAAATACCATGAATTTTTTATGTTGTTTAATATAATTACAATTTATAAATTAAATTATAATGCTAATAAAGCTGCTTTGAAATAAAGGCTTTGCTATATTATAGGCCGATCAATCATTGGGATAAAATGTCGACTTATTTAAGGCCGATAATTCTCCAATTTCCTAAAATTAATTATATTAATTTACTTTAACAGATTGTCAGCATTTAAATTCGCTTTCGGTCGATGCTATCGTGCGTTAAATATCAAACTTATGTAAGTTTATGCGAATACGCAATATATCACACGAAGTTCGGACTAGTTTAAATGATCATCGATCGACATGACATTTATATCGAAGAATCTCGAACAGTTGCATAAATCACTATCGCACTAATGCGATCCTTTAAAGAAAAAAGAAATAATTCCATTCCATTTATTGTTATATATTAACTATTTTTTTCTTCTTGCTTCTCTCTCTCTCTCTCTCTCTCTCTCTCTCTCTCTCTCTATGTCTCTTTTCTCTCTTGCTCTAATATATACTCCGTAAATTAAGCATCCCAACTCTGACTTTCTTAATATCTTTATACTACTAAGCTTGTAAGAAACCGTCATTTTTATATTCTCAGTAGATTTAAAAGCCTTTTTACGATATCAGAAAAATTCTTAAAATGAAAATATCGCTTGTTCATTGTTTAATATTATTGTTAATAATTTTAGTTTTACATACAATCTGCATAGATTTGATTTTGCAATGCCTGTTATTATTAGTTTTTCCTTCTTAATATGAAAGTGACAGTAATTGAGTAAGTAGAAGTTGCTTTTTATTATCTCTATGTGCTCAAGTCGTATGTAACTGTTTTTCTAATCAGTTAAACGATGACTAATGTCATTCTCCGTAATCATTAAAAGCTGAAACTTAGACAACTTATTTACGTATCTTACATACATACAATTTTTCGTTCGCAAATTAAGTGGCGCATGTTGCTCACTAATTTACAAATTAATAAAAAATTTAATTCTGGTTAATTTTTATGTACATATATATTCCGAGTAGCAACATGAATTTCAAAAATTTAATCTTGTTCCGACAATTGAAAATTTTCAATTATTTAATTAAAAAATGTACGATTATTTGGTTCTTTCTAGTGTTGCTAGTCAAAATTAATAAATCCAACGATTTACATGCCTTGACATAAATTCAATAGCTAAATCTTATAAATATTTAGATATACACGCCGTTGAAATTCATAATATCCTTGTCGAAAACGCAGATTTTCAGTCCATTAAATTAATTAATATTTCTTAATTACATCAATAAATGCATCCCAAATGATGTTGAAGGATTTCAATTGTTTTTCTCTTTTTAAATACTCCAGTATTTGATTGTAAGGATAAGATTTAGAAATAACTGAAAGCCCATAAATTTTTAATTCTTGTCTTTTCAATAACAAGTATTTTCGATTAAATTGCGCGAAATACAAATCTAATTTATTATTTGAAGAAGAAGAAAACATTTTGAATATCAAAATTATTTCCAATTAAATTTTATATAATCTCGTTACAAACGCCAATTTATAATTGACGTTTTTAAATACATATTTAATGAAACGCGATTAAAGGAAAATATTAATATCTTGATTTTCATTCCCTTCTCAAAGCATTAAATTATGTACAATCTATTGTTAATCCGATATAAATTTACTTAAATAAACATTGAAATTTTTGCTTATTCAACACAATATTTTATGATTTATGAAAATAATCCAATGTAAAGTTTACATTTATCTTGTATAACTTAAATCAACATATTATAATGTAGTGTTTGTTCTTCTGGGAGGGAATGAAAATTTGATTTCACGCTGCTACGTACAACGCAACTTCCGATCCTTCGTATAGTTTTGTAATCTCTAACATGAAACTGGCATAAAAATTAACTCTCATGTCTGTTTGCGTGAATGAGAAAATAACTGTATAATTGTATATGCGTAGAGAGCGTAAGAATATATTTATTTCTTTTACTAAAAGAAAGTCGTTGCCGTGAAGAGGCAAACGTCGTCGATTCAAGAATCAAGAGAAATTTCGACGCGAGTAAAAGGTGCGAAGATGACGTGAATAACTTCCTAGACGAAAATTCGACACTCGGACGTATTATTTCATCGGCGTTTCAACATCATTACATTGGCCTTTTTTATCTCATTTGCTCGACTCCTTCGCCCCGCATAACTTTCAAAGATTTGCAATTCATTAAGGCACGCGAGATTTATAAAAAGAACTGTTGAGCAATTGGAGCTGTTTTTGATTGTTCCCGATTAAGCGATTAATTCTCCAAGCTTGAGGCTAGAATAAATAATAGAGTCCCGTGAGTTATAAAATTTATGAATATCAAGAGCTTCAATTAAAATAAGGACATCGTTTACTCGACTCTATGAAATATGAAGAAACAATTATGCTCAGATAAAAATTGTAAATGTACTGTTTCATAGACACTAATGTATTATTACAAAAGACTGTCGTAAAGAAACAATTAAAATTGTGTAAGAATATTGTCATTTTATTAATGTACATCTGTTTAAATTCAATATAATTTCACTATTGTTGAAAATAAATATTATAATTGCGAATTAATCTGATTATTCTTGCTTTATTCGTGCAAAATAGTACGAGGATTTCAATAATCCATATGATGAGGAAAGGCAAAATTCCACTTCATTTACGTGGACGTTATTTTTAACGAAAGTATTGTAAAAAGTGTAAAGAGCTTTAATCATATACCTGCTGACATTAATCTAAAGGATTTTTCATCACGATTGACCGTCCTTTATATCTATAACATGGTGTAAAAGGATTGATAATGAGAATTAAATGTTAAATGAGCTTTGAATAATTTTTACATTCTCTTCACAAACATTGTCAATATTTCATTTAGTAATAAAAATTCAGTTGTATTCATAGAGACGAGAGAAAGAAATGTTTATATTCAGTTTATTTAATTATGGAGAAATAATATTAAGGGTTATTAAATTAAAAATCTTACGTACTTTATTAAATAAAACGGCAAGAAAGAGAGAGAGAGAGAGGGAGAGAGAGAGAGAGAGAGAGAGAGAGAGAGAGAAAAGAATATTTAAATGAATTATAAATGAAATTTATGTAAATAAATAATTGGAGGAATGATAAGTAACTTGAATTTGACTAGCGAAATTTTTTTTCTTTTCTAATTTAAATAATTGATTGTATTATGGTAAATAATATTTTTCATTGACTGCTCTATCAGAAACTGGTACGATTAGTGCGATGCTTACAACTTTCATTCCTATTTCATAATGCCAAGCCGAATGATATAAGTTTCACGCATGTAATTATGAAGATTCCCGTAGTCGTATTTACAAAATTACGCGGAAACAGCCTACGCAGTCAATTTATTGAAAAAAAAAAAAATAATCGTACTAAAACGAATAATGCCATTACTATAGTCAAGAATTTATTCCCGGTATTCTTTTATTAATAGATTTTAGTCACAATTTAATATTGAATGTTCCACGAATGACAAGAAACAAAAGTCACTGGACATTCTTCCTATATTCCACATGACCATTTTGGTAAGAGTTTTGCAATGGCTTGATTTGGTTATCGGGGGTTGTGGAGGTGGCAGAGGGTTGGGGAGCGAGGAGGCGAGGTGGCGAGGAGGCGAAGAGGCGAGGCGGCGAGGAGGCGAGGCGGCGAGGAGGCGAGGAGGCGTCGGGTAGGGAGTTTAATCCCGTATAATACATGGGTGGCTCGCATTTCGTCGTAGAATCGTTGAGCAAAGTTTAAAGTGAAAGTAAGACGTCGGGCTTCGCCCGAATTCCCTTGGGCACAACGTATTGTCGAATGTCGTTGGGCTTCGGCAAAATCTCCAATGCATTTAGTAAATATATGGAATTTCGGATACATGCTCCTCTGGAAATACTACTA